GCCCTCCCTGCTCATCCTCCCCTGCCCTCCCTGCTCAGCCTCCCCTGCCCTCCCTCCCCTGCCTTCCCTGCAGATCCATCCAGAACCTGCTTCCATGTAATCCCTGAAGCAGAAGCCTATGGCTCACCGATTACCACAGAACCCAGCAAAGTCCCTGCCTGTGACGGTGGCTCTGACGGTGCCTCCCAGTGCTCCATGGGGATGAGGCCAGGGGACGGCACTTCCCTCTGCTGGCACCGGCCGGCACAAGCAGGGTGCGCAGCAGCACCGGGCACGGGTCCGCCGCTCACGCACCCCTCCGTCCTCACACCGACCCCGATGCAGTTCCCGGCACCCCACCTCATACAGGTGCAAACTGAGGACCCCGGGACTGGACGCAGGATCCTCCCCTCAATGCCACCAGGCCTCTGGCCTACATGGGCCAGAACGTGGGGTCCAGGCTGCAGCCTGAGGCCCCAGGAACAGACTACTGGCCTCAAGGAGCCCCCCACTCCCATCCCCTATGTCTGGATGCTTACCAGTTACAAGCCAGGCTGACGGGTGGAACGTGAAATGTGCTTTACCCCCCACTTGATAAATATGAGCTCAAAAGTAAAAAGTTAAGGGAATGTACTGCACAGATCAAAATTCCCTCATTCCCTGCTAAGCCCACAACTGACGCTGGTGGCTGCTGGGAAGGTGGGGAAGACTGTCCCCTGGGTCCCCACGCCTAGGCCTCCCTCCTCTTCCTCTCCAGGCTGGACATCTGCTTTCTCTGCCTCCCTACAGGACAATACAGGGCTAGAGCGGGAGGGCCTCCCCATTTCCTCCGGGAGGGCCTGGCTCGCCTACTGCCCCCCAGGCTACGCTGGCCCTCTGCCCACGGGGCACTCTCGCCCCACCCCTACCATCACGGTCTTTCTAAATCCCTGGATGGGGCCTGGAGCTGGGAATCCAGGGCTATACCAGGAATTCTTGGACTCCTTGCTGGGCCTCGTGGACATGTGTGGACACTCAGCGGACCCTTGCAGCCCACGAGGTGGCAGATAGAATGGCCGACCCAGGGAGAGGCCGGCAGCCCTCCGGGCAGGCACACTGGGTGGGGCGTCCTGGGGTCCCTGACTCCAAAACACGGCCTAGAAGGGGGTGTGTACTTGAGTAGGCTTGCCCCATGCCCCTCCCCCCGACTCCTGCCCCCCATGCCTCCATCTTCTGAGAGTAAAATGCAGAGGAAGTGGGCCTCCAGCCCCTACAATGCACGCCGCCGCCCAAGCTCTTCGCACGCACAGGTATCTTGGAGGCAGGTCCTACTGTGATCATCAACTTACTAGATGGGAAACTGAGGCGTCTGGGCTCAGAAGCAGGCGTAAGGTCCCAATACCAGAAGAGGTGTAGACTTGACTGAACTCGTCTCACATCCCTTGGTCCCCCCACAAGAGGTTGGGGACTAGGCAGGAAGCTGGGCAGTAGAGTGGGGGCCTGACCTATCTTTCACTGCAGACCTGGGGGAGAGGACAGAAGATGAAGAGACGTGTCGCGGGTCACAGGTGGGGGTGATGACAGTGGGCTGTGAGGTGCCATTTTGGCTGCAGCTTCAGGGGGCTCAATGGATAATTACTGGATGGGTGTGTGGGTATGTGGATGGTTGGACAGATGAATGGATGATGGGTGAGTGGGTGGATGGCTGGCTGGAGGGATGGATGATTGGGTGGAGGGATGGAGGGATGGAGGGATGGATGGGTGAACAGGTGGGTGGATGGATGAGTGGATGATTGGTTGGATGGATGGATGAGTGGGTGGATAGATGGAAGAATGGGTGGACGGATGGGTGGATGGACAGGTGGGTGGCTGGATGGTGGCTGGCTGGGTGGGTAGATAGATGAATGGATGGATGGATGGATGGATGGATGGATGGATGGATGGGCAGGGGGGTGGATGGATGGATGAGTGGGTAGATGGATGGATGATTAGTTGGACAGATGGGTGGGTAGATGGATGAGTAGATGGATGGACAGATGGGTGGGTGGATGATGGGTGGGTGGATAGATGGATGCATGAATGAATGGGTGGATGGATGGGTGGGTGGATGGGTGGGTGGATGGATGAGTAGGTAGAGAGATGAATGGGTAGATGGATGGATGCGTAGGTGAGTATGTGGGTAGATAGGACCCGGCTCATAGCCTTGCTAGAATGGAGTTTTAAATGGGAAGCTGAAGCCTTGGGTAGAGGTGACATCTGGCTCACAGAGTAAGGTGTCAACAGGGAGAGGGAAGGGGAAAGAATCGTCTTGGTTAAGGCACAGAGCTGACTAGCAGCCTTAAACACAAGTGAAGGGCAGACGGACACTGAGGAGCTGGAGGGCAGGCCAGCCGCAGAGGCCACGGGAGCAGTCTCCTCAGGTGTGCTCTCCCGGGCACCAGGAGCCTGCTCAGAGCCCGTGCTCCGGGAAGAGAGACCAGGATGTCACCAAGTGGGCAAGCACTACCCCCAAGGCAACGGCAGCTCTCGGGAAGGGGACAGGGTCCAGCCACAAGTGAGCAGCCACACACATTGCACCCCTGCAGAGTCAGGGGCTCGGGGTGAGGGGAGGACTGTGCTCAGAGGGGACTGATACCCTGCGGGCTCCAGGAAGGGACACGGCGAGGCCACCCCAGCGGTGTCCGCGGGCTCCACCTTCTTTCAGAGGATTTATGTGAAGACCCTGAGGCCCAAGATTCCACGGGACGCGAGATGAGCGTGGGAGAGAGAACTCATTCCCGGAACTAATTACGTGACAGGCTCCAGGCTGCACACATCTCCACAGGGCGGCCAAGGCTGACAAAGCGACACTTCATAGCAGTGGAAGAAAAATAAAAACGCAAAGGAAACACACAATGAACCCCATGAATGCAGGGGTAGAGGGGAGGCCGGGCGGCAGAAGTCTGAGCTGCAGCTGGCCTGTGCCTGTGCCCTGGGGGTGTCCCAGGGAGGGCAGGACACCCCAGAAGGCTCCTGGGGTGTTAGCAGAGAAGCTGGGGAGCAAGGCTGCGCAGGGGGTGGGGGTGGGGGTAAAAGGCTGGCACGTGGGGAAAGCTCCTCGGAGGGTCCCCAGTGGAGAGGACCCACGCGCAGTCCAGGCCAGGCTTCCCTCGACGCCCTGGGAAGGAGGGCCCCCGCCGGGCGCAAGCGGCAGAGGCCGGGAGGCCACAGCACGTCCCTCAGGGGCCCCTCCCTCAGGAGCGTCCCACCCCTCTATTCTTGCCACTTGCCAACAGCCCCAGCGTGTGCCCCACGGCGCCCACGTGAGCACAGCGAGGGGACCCCTGAGAAAACGCCCCTGGCTGTGGATCGGGAGGCGCTGGGGGCTCACAGAGAGCTCAGAAGCGTTAGCACACCTGCTTCTGGAAGGAATTCCAAGTTGCCCGTCTGGCCTTGTCCCAAGGGACACCCATTTGTCTGCACCCCTCACTGCCCCCAGCCCCCTGTCTGCCTCCCCACTGGGAACGCCTTTCCCCAAACGTGGCCTGTCCGTGGCTGTGGTCTCCTCCTCCGAGAAGTCCCAGCTGTCCACAGCTCCCCCCCCCCCCCCCCCCCCCCCCCCCCCCCCCCCCCCCCCCCCCCCTGGAGCAGTTCTGTCTTCTCAGAACAGTGCGTGCTGCCCCTCCTCCCCCGCCCCCTCTGACGTGTGTGCCCGTTAACATCTGTCCTATGTCGGGACAGTGACACGGGCAGGTCAGCGGACGGGCTGCGTGGGAGGGGGGCTGGGGCGCTGCCACCGTGGGCGCCCCCCCACCTCCCCCCCCGTTTGGGGAGGCTCAGATTCAGGGCGAGAAGATGAACGTGCTTCTCGGTCAGGACGCCGGGCTGCGGCTGGTGCGACAGATACCTGGGGGGCTCCTGTGAGCTCGGGACTCGGGGACGCCGACGGGTCCGGCTAGCAGGATGGAGGCGCTGCACTGACTGGGCCACCCAGCGCCTGCTCTAAGGTGTTTTCCTTTCTTCTTCTCTCTTCTAATGTTTATTTATTTGTTTTGAGGGCGGGGAGGTGGAGAATCCCATGCTGTCAGCAGAGCCCAACATGGGGCTCGAACCTACCAACCTGAGCCGAGATCAAGAGTCGATGCTTAACCCACTGAGCCACCAGGCGCCCCTTTTTCTTAAACAAGCTTCACGGGGCTGCTTTCATTGCAAAGAGAGTAGCTTATTATTTTAAAACTGACTTAAAACTGCCAGAAGTTTTAAACCCCGCTGTTGGGGGCCAGGCGGGTTCCCTTCCTGTGCGGCTGCGAACGAAACGCTCATAACTCAGGTCTTGAAAAGGCGGCGTGCGGAGGCGGTGACAGACCGCATTCCGCCCCGGCGTGTTGGGACACGGCCTCCCCCGGCCCGCGCCTGCGTCAGGAATTCGGTGTCCTTTTAGGGAGAATTCCAAGCACCAGCTCCCTGGCTCCGCAGCAGAAAACGCCCCCGACCCGAGCAGCAGTGGTGGCCGCACAAGGCAGCGGGATCCTCGGGCAAGGTGGCCGGGCGCCGGGCTCCCCCGCGGACCCCCGGGGCGCAGGACAGCTGTGCCGAGACCTTTAAAGTTGGGTTTCCAATGAGAGACGAGAGGCCCAGGAGTGTGAGCCTGCTACGTCCCATTTGATGGGTCCCCGGTCTGTGCCTGCAGATCCGGCCGGAAGGGTCCGTCCTGCTCTGGGGGATTTCATACCTGCAGAGGGAGAACCCTGGGCCCCGCACCGTCCTCCAGAGCTGCAGTCGGTGGGGGGGAGTGGGGGGGCTGGGGTGGGGAGCTGCAGAGAGGCCTTCCTGCGGGGTGACCCAGCTGGGGGCTGAAGGAGAGCCTCCCTGAGGTGCCCTGAGTGGGGGGTGCAGCCTGGGAGCTTCCAGAGACCCCGCAGGAGGGGGAGGCTCGCCTGGGGCCTGGGGAGGCTTCCTCACCTCTCGGGCTGCAGTTTCTCTGTGAAATGGGAGCCTCCCGCGGCAGCTGTGCTAATGGGACTGCCCTCCAGATGCGCTTTCCTGGAAGGGAGCCCACTTCAGAATGAACGGCCCTGGGGCGCCTGGGCGGCTCCTTCGGTTGCGGGTCTGACTTCGGCTCAGGGCATGATCTCACGGCTTGTGGGTTCGAGCCCCGCGTCGGGCTCTGTGCTGACAGCTCAGAGCCTGGCGCTGCCTCGGATTCTGTGTCTCCCTCTCCCTGTCTCTCCCCTCCTCGTGCTCTGTCTCTCTCTTTCAAAAATAAATTTAAAAAAATTAAAACAAACAAACAAATCCAAAAATGAACAGCCCACCTCGGCGGGGTTTTTGACGTGAGCCCCCTTTTAGCAACTCACGGGACACTGGAGGCCTGAGCCCAGGGGGCTGGCAGGGGTGATGGGGAGGGGCCTGGGGAGGGCAGGAGGGGGAGATGAGGAAGGGCAAGGGCACCTTCAGGGGCGAGGGGCTTCTATGTTCAGTGTCTTGAGTCCACACAGGCATAGACATACGTCGGAAACTTCCAAATTATGCACTTGGAACATATCAGTTTATTCTACGTCAGTCATATCTCAGGAAGCTTTTTAAAAGCAGTAAGCGCAGGGGTGCCCGGGTGGCTCGGTTAAGTGTCCGACCTTGATCCCGGCTCAGGTCGTGATCTCACGGTTTGTGAGATCGAGCCCCAGGCCGGGCTCCACGCCGACAACGTAGAGCCTGCTTGGGATTCTCTCTCTATCCCTCCTCTGCTCCCTCTCTTTCAAAATAAATAAACTTAAAAAACAATTTAAAAACTCCGCAAAAACACACAATTGATGAAATGTTATCTCTCTGCTCTTCCCAGATCTTCTAATCACTGTCGGAAAGATCCTCCCTAGGTGGGTCCTGCTGCAGGGGTGAATCACTCTCTGCTCACGGGGCCAGCAGGGGAGGACACCCCTTGGGAGCCAAATGCCCAGGACGCCACACGCGTGTCCTGTCCCCGAGTGCCCGGGGGTGACGCACACAGAACGTGGTTTGAACACGCGGCCCTCACCCGCCCCCGCCTACTCTGAAAAATGAAAACAAAAACCGAAAGACCAAACAACTGAAAACCAATTAAACCTCTTGTGTGTCCAGTAAAAACTCCTACTCGGGCGTCAAGGCCCCGTGGGCCCTCCCCTGCCTGCTGCCCGGTGCATGGCCCTCCTCTGACCCGCGGCGGCGGCCGGGGGAGCGGGTCCTGAGGCGGATGCAGGGGCGCGGGGCCTGAGCCTCCCCGAACACGGCGGCGCCCACAGCGGGCTCTGTGGCGTCTGGGGGATGACGGCACAGAAAGTGAAGGTGCGGATGTGCTGGGGACACGTCACAGTACTCGCGGGTGACAGCCCGGGCCTCTTCTGGCTTCTAGAAAGCTCAGGGTGGTTTGGGTCTTAGGAGATGGTTTTCTCCTCTCTCCTTTTAAATACTGTTACTTTTGCTTCTT